ACTCTTCAAGACAAATCCCTGACGGGTAGGGTGATGCTAGCTGGACAAGTAGTGGAAAGCTTGCCAGAAAGTTTTTATAATGGTAGACTTGCAGTTTCAGTAGGTTACATTCCAGCAATGCTCAAATGCACAATGTAGGGTCCCCAGTCTTGGCTCTTGCCAACCTGTGCCTAATAAGCAATTAAGTTGTTGTTGTTGTTAAGTAAGCAGGTGTGACCCTTTCCATTAAAGGTTTCAAAAATGTGCATTGAAGTACTGCTGGAGTTTAACAAGTTAAAACTGCGTAGTTTACCATTGTGAACACTGTTTGGCAAGCTTCCCACTGCTTGTTCATCCTTCATGGTTCTAAAGTCCCGGACATGCAGCAGACGGGTTTTCTTCAACCCATTTGTGAAGTCTAGGACAAAACAGTGAGGTTGATTTGTGGTAATATAAGGAGAAGCGATTGCCGGGAAAGCCTACACTGACTTATTGCTGAGCATTCTGGAAGTGGAGTCAACTTCATGACTGGTATTTGCCAAAGGCCCTCACGAGGACTTGGCTTAAGGAATTGGTCTTGAGTAAACTGTTATAGTAACAACAACTTATATTTATATTGCGCCCTTCACGTGGGGTAGCATCCTGGAGTGCTTGTATTATGACGTTATTCGGCATTGGACTTGGACCTCAGAGCATCAAGGTGGCTGGCATGCCACAAGCTGTCCTGTATTGGTCCTTTTATCACATTGTTGTAAGGTGTCTGTCGAATAGCGGATGAAGAAGCTCTGAGGCTTGGGGTGGCAACTGCTGGGAGGTGTTACTGGAAGTGTGGGTTTGTGAACCCAGGGTCATATATTCAGCACTTGGAATCCATCTTGATATTATGCAGAGTGTGGTTCAAGCTTCACAGTTCCATCAAGTGAAACCATTGCTCAATGGCTAAGGATGTGTGTCTGAGCAGCGGGCAGGAACTTGGTGTCAATGCTCACACATTTCTGTCAGCACTCCAAATCCTGTCCTATATGAAGCGCTTTGAGACTTCTCGAAGACGTGATAAGGCACTATATCAAACGCAAGGATTATTATTATTATAAATGCATGTTGTTTGTGCTGCATGCCAGGAAGCTTGCAGACAGTTCCTGGTACCTGCCATTCTCCTAATGAGGGCTAAAACCTGAGTGTATCTGATTCAAATGACTGACCAGCAAATATCCTCCTAGGGGGAGGTAAGTTATGGTCTCCTTCTTGAGGATGAGTTGGCTCCGAGGTGATGTGCATGGCAACAGAATATTGCACTCGAGTTAATCATCTGTGTCAATCTCGGTATTCGAGTTCTTGAGCCAGGTGAGCACACCAATACATTGCTGATGACAGACCAGCCTAGCTTGTCTGCAGAATATAGAAGGTCAGTTTGAGGCAGGGAATCATCTCACTTAGCTCCTGTTAACCTGAAAGACAAAACCCTGATGGTTAGTGTGGTTGTACCTGGATAAGCAGCAGGAAACTTGCCAGAGAGTGCTCTCAATGGCAAACTATAATAATAATCCTTGCATTTCATATGGTGCCTTATCATGTCATTGGATTAGATGATTAGATACCTTTACAAGAATAAAGTCACCCTTTCAAATGTTCTATACTTGTGGAGTCCTGCAGCTCAGTGGTTAGAGCAAGCAAGAGGACCCGGGTTCAATTCCCTGGCAGGGTGAAACGTTGGGCAAGTTTCCTTACTCCTCACAGAGCCAATAGGGAACCTCAGCATCCTGTTTGACCCTCAACTGTACCTCATCTCACACATCTGTGCCATGACCCGCTCCGACTTTCCCCACCTTCGGAACATTGCCCAGCTCCGCCACTGTCTTGTTCCGCAGGCCACCGAGACCCTCATCCACTCATTCATAACATTTGGGCTTAACTACGCAAACTCCCTGCTTGTCGGCCTCCCTAGCTCCCCCTTCCATAGGCTGCAGATCATCCAAAATTCTGCAGCCCGTGTCCTCTCCCCCACCAGGCTCCGTGACCCTATCATCCCCATCCTCGCCCGACTCCACTGGCTTCCCATCATTCAGAGGATACAGCTCAAGATCCTGGTCCTCACCTTCATAGTCCTCCACAGCCTCGCTCCCCCCCTCCTACCTCTGCAATCTCCTAACTTGCCACCAACCTATCCGCTCCCTCTGCGCAGTGGGCTCCAACCTGCTTCATGTCCTTGCCCACCTCATCCCGCTAGCCTTCAGCCGGTCTACCCCCACCCTCTGAAACTCCATCCTACAGTTCCTCCATCTCGCCTCCTCCCTTGTCTCCTTCAAGAACCGTTCCTTCGGTCATCCTCCTACCCCTACCCTCCCCACCCTCCACCCCTTCTGATCCCATCCAGCAGCTCGGGTGCGGATCCCTGACTGTTCAGAACCTTGGAACGTCCTCCTGATGTGGAAGGCGCTATACAAATGTAATTTGTTGTTGTTTACCTAGCAGTAAGTAGAAACCGGATTTCTTAGTCATTGGTGGATCACTTTTCCAGGGGTAATAATCTCTTCAAAAAAAATATATAATAATTTGGTCTCTCAATCCACGACTGCTTATGGGACACTGCTGTGTGCAATTGGCTGCTGCGTTTTGCCCATAAAATATACAGTCAACACAGTATTATTATTGAGACATCTCAAAGTGCTTCACAGGATATACTGTAAAGTAAATTCACTGTATATTTTGCGGTTGAAACGCGGCAGTCAATTCCGCACAGCAGTGTCCCACGAACGGTTGTGGATTGAGTGACCAAATTATTTTTTTGATGTACATTTTTTAAGGGAATATTACCCCCGGAAAAGAGATCCGCCAATCGATTTACAGACGATTTCCTGCTTACTGCTCAGTGAACAGAGCTGTGTAAAGTAAGGACACTTGCTTGCTTGCTTGTTTTGCTCAATGGTTTGTCCTGCCCTAGAATCGAACCCAGGTTCTCTTGCTTGCGAGGCGAGTGCTCTATCCACTCAGCTACAGTGCTCCACTGTGCAGTTTTAGCTGGTTAAACTCCAGCAGTACCACAATGCAAACTCTGGAGTTCCCAAATCTTGGCTCTTGTCGAACTGTAATGTATACTCAAATAAAAATGGTTGCTGGGTACATGCAGCAGGTCAGGTAGCATCTATGGGGGGGAAGAAAAGTGAGTTAATGTTTCAGCTCTGAAGTGGTTGAAGGTCTGAAGGTCTCAAGCACAATGCAAGTTCGAGGAATATCTACCTCCTAGGCACCTTAATCTACTTCCTAGGCACTTTATAGCCCTCTGGTCTCAACATTGATTTTAACTACTTCAGACCTTAAACACAGCTCCCATCTTCTATCTGCCTTGCCTCCTCCCTCTTCTATAACCTCTGCTTGTCCTTATAATCTGTTTCCTTCCAACAAACCCCCATTTCTGACCTGAAACGTTAACTGACTTTCCTCTCTCCATAGGTGCTGCCTAACCTGCTGCATGTTCCCAGCGAAATCTGTTTTTATTTTAGATTTTCAGCATCTGCAGTATTTTGCCTCTTGTAATATATACTTTCTAAAATTAAGTAAGCAGGGTACATCCCTCCAGGGAGAAAGTGTGCCTATTCCATTCCAGACAGTGGAATGCATATAATAATAATAATAATCCTTCCATTTGATATAGCGCTTTTCACGTCTTCTAGACGTCCCAAAACGCTTCACAGAATATACTGTAAAGTGAATTGGCTGTATATTTGTGGGCGAACGCGGCAGCCAATTGCGCATAGCAATGTCCCACAAACAGTCATGGATTGAAAATTACCAATTTATTATTGTTTTTTTTGAGGGATTATTATTAGGCTCTGTGTGGAGTAAGGAAACTTGCCCAAGGTTTCGCCCTCTGCCTGGAATTGAACTCAGGTCTCTCACTTGCAAAGCGAGTGCTCTAACCACTGAGCTACAGGACTCCACTTATAGAATAGAATATTAACAACAACAAATTGGATTTATATAGCGCCCTCCATGCCGGATGGTGTATCAGAGCGCTTCACAGTAACGGATCCCGGGGCTAAGCCAGGGGGAGGGGTAGGAAGGTGACCAAGAAGCACAGAAGAAGGCTGTTTGGCCCATCTTGTCTATGCCTGCTCTTTGGAAGAACTATTCAAATCAATCCCACTCACCTGCTCTTTCCCCATACCCCTGCAAATTTTTCCTTTTCAAGTACCTATCTAATTCCCTTTTGAAAGTTGTTATTGAATTTGTTTCCCCCACCCTTTCAGGCAGTGCATTCCAGACCATAACAATTCTGTTAAAAAAATTATTCTCATTTTTTTGTGGAACTTTGTCTGATTTGGATACTGTTAAGATGGGTTTCTGCATGTAACAAGACACTCGGCTGACCAACAAAGAAACTGCTGTTTTGTTATCTTAAAAACAAACAAGCATTCTATTTAGCAGAGAATGAGTCTTGTTAATTTTGTTGTAACTTAATGACCTCTGAGTAAAAGTGCCACCTAGTGTATCACCAAGGTATTTCCGACTGGAAGGTTGCAGGTTTATTTTTCACTCTGTTGAGGTAGCTGACTTCATTTGGCTACAGGGGGAAAGATTGGTCATTTCTGCTCTGGATCACTATTCAGTGACACCCCCCCCCCCCTTTTTTTTCTTACCAGAAAGAGACCTCAGAGGAGAGCTTGATCTGGCTCTACTCTGATGCTCCATGGTCCACTAACTCGTACTGTATAGTTCACATGAATAAATTGCCACTTGAATGAGAATCAGAAGGCTGATTGCATCTGTCAAGTTATATCCTTGCACAAGTAAATGTCTTCTATATCATTTGTTCACTATTAATATGTTTTATATTTTCAGAACCTGGGTTAGCTGTGGTAAATCTAACCTGAATGTGCTTGATTCTTGCTGATTAAAATGGAAAGCATTTCTGTCTCCCAGCGTTCACCTTGATGAATTCCATGTGGGAAAAATCCAAAGAACGAAGTTAGTAATAGCTTAGTTCATATAACCTTTTCTAATTTTTGCATCTTCATCTCCAGGGCTTGCCGACTAAAGAAAAAAGCTCAGTACGAGGCTAACAAAGTGAAGCTGTGGGGTCTCAACACAGAATATGGTAAAGCAGTTACCTTTCATTATATTTGTATCGTAAAGTTGAACGAAAGTCCAGACCGAGTGCTTTTTGTTCAGAGTATTATTCCTCCTTTTCCTTAGCTTTCTTGGAAACTTTTTTTCACTCAAAAGAAAAACAAGTTCAAGGATGAGTCTTGTTGTCTTAGGTCTCCACACCAATATTGCTTTGATCACATCAACAACAACTCGCATTTATATAGTGTCCAGGAGCAGTTGATGATTGACAGGAAAAGCTGCATCAGGCAGCCTGGGTGGTGTGACCTTGGAAAAACATATTATTGCCTCGACTTAGACTTTCCTTCCCCTTGAATTTAACCATGTTTTATTCAACTCAACCAATAAATGTGCTTACAGTGCTCAACTAATGAATGTGATATTTGTAACGGTAGTTGTAAATAGCAATTCTTACCAGTAAATTGAAAGGATGCCTATGTTCCTACCTAATCATCTTCCAAATGTAGTTCTTACTGATTGGTGCAATGCACCACAGTTGCTGGCAGGAATTGCTGTTTGGGATTCCAATGCCAAACTAGTATAACATTCTGTATTTTTTTAAATTTATGTTTTGTTTCGGAAAGCGATCTCACCAGCATGGCAATGAGTTTCATTTTGACTAAACAAGTTCCAATATTGTCACGGGTGTTTTGCCTCTAGTCACACCGAATTTGGGTTATGTTCACTGCTGAAGAAATGTGACAAACTTGCTGCATTTCCAAGCTGAAAGGGAGCTGATAATATAATACTATACTATTATACTATATTATATTGTAATATGATACTAAGCTAGGAAAATGATACTAAGGTAGGAAAAGTAGTAAATAATGAGGAGGATAGTAGCAGACTGCAAATGGACATAAACCGACTGGTAAAATGGGCAGACACGTGGCGGATGAAGTCTAATGTGGAGAAATGCAAAGTGATGCATTTTGGGAGGAAGATTGCGGAGTGTCAATATAAGCTGATGGTACAATCTTAAAGGGGGCAAAGGAACAAGAAGGATCTGGGTTTCATATAAATAAATCTTTGAAGATGGCAGGACAGGTAGATAAAGCTGTTAAAAACGTAACAAAAGTCAGGAAGTTATGATGAACCTTTATAAAACACTCAGTTAAAGGAATATGTTCAGTTCTGGGTACCACACTTTAGGAAGGATGTCAACGCATTGGAGAGGGTGCAAAGTAGATTTACCAGGAGGGTACCAGGAATGAGGGACTTCAGTTATCAGGAGAGGCGAGAGAAGCTAGGATTATTCTCCTTGGAGCAGAGAAGGTTAAGAGGAGACTTAATAGAAGTTTTCAAAATTATGAGGGGGGTGAACAAGGAGAAACTATTTCCATTGGTGGGCGCATCGGTAACCCGAGGACACTGATTTAAAATAGTTGTTAAAAGAAACGGGGGTGGTGAGGAGAAATGTTTTCACACAGTAAGTTGTTCGGATCTGGAATACATTGTCTGAAAGGGTGGTGGAAGCCGATTCAATAACAACTTTTAAGAGAGAAGTAGATAATTATTTGGGGAGGACAAGTTTGAAGGACTATGGGGAGAGCGCGGAGGAGTGGGATTGATTTGGATACTCTTTTCAAAGAGCCGTCACAGAAACATGGGCTAAATGGCCTCCTTCTATGCTGTATGATTCTATGATTCTATGATATGGACAAGAAGGTGCAGCTTTAGGTGCAGTTTCATAACTCCAGTCATCTGGCTCATTGTTAGATATCAGCTATTGAACCTACTAGTGCAAATAGTAAATAAATATTCCAAATATTCCCAGCCAATTTCAAAACTTTCCAACCGGCTTTCTTATGTTGGCCTCCTCTATCATCTCACTGCCACAACTGTTGCCTGCCTTTGTAAGACAGGTGAAAGTTTCAAGGTGTTTTTTTTTAAAAGAGAGAACCCTGTCTTCTATGTTAATTTTTTGAATTAAAGACAAAATACAGGAGTTTATTGAAGCACAAGTTCTAAAATCTTCACTCATCTGTTGGAATGTTTGGGGAGTCAGTGGAGTAGGAGATTGAGCCTGTGGAATTGCATGTTTCCTTCTTCAACTCATTCGTTTTCATAAACTCAAAACTGTTGAACTTGTTGCCCTCCATTTCACCTCCTCCTGCAACCCATAGCCTTTTAAAACTTGGCTTCATCTAACCATTTCTTACATAAGATAAAGTATTCGTAATTCTTCTTTCACATTTATTCAAATTCAAAATTGTGTTTGGTAATGAAAGTAACTGGAAGTCTTTGAGTGGAATGAATATTTCACACATGCTCACCACCCGAGCACTTTTCCATGTATTGTACTATATATGAACCCCCAATGGCAAATTGTGCTCGGCCCCTAGCTAATACTGCTGCTCTGCCTTGGCTCTATAACTTACAATAAATATAGTAAATTAATGTATGTAAATAGGGGGAATTTCAGTGTGTCTAAATTTCTTACGTCTCACATTTCATTAAGGACCCAATGAAATTATGGCTTTTATGCTTTCTCATTTGCAGATCGTCTGCTCTATGTGATTAATTCAATCAAACAGGAAATAGTGAATCGAGTGCAGAGTCGAGGGGAAAAGGGAAGCAACATGCTTGAAAAACTTGAAAAACTCCTAAAGGAAACACTTGGTAAGAAACTGGATCCTACTTTTTCCTTAAACCTTTCTTTATAACTAAATATCTTCCAAGTTATGGAGCATTTACCTCCAATAAGATTTTTACTCCTGTTAGAAGGTGAATTAGTAATCCCCTTTGAAGTGCTCTTGCATTGAAAATGAATAGTCAACCAAGAAGATTACTTTAACACAAGTGCCCAATAAAACAATAATAGGTGCTGACAAAGAATCATAGAATCGTACAGCACAAAAAGAAGCCACTCGGCTCATCGAGTTTGTGCCAGCTCTTTGATTAGAGCAATTAATGTCAGTCCCACTCCCCAGCACTTTCCCCATATCCCTTCAAACCTGTCCTCTTCAAATACTCATCCACCGCGTTTTTAAAAGTAGTTATTGAATCGGCCTCGACCACCCTTTCCGGCAATGAGTTCCAGATTCGAACAACTCTCTGTGTGAAAAAATTTCTTCTCATCTCCCCTCTGCTTCTTTTGGAGAGTATTTTGAATCTGTGACCTCGAGTCACCGACACATCCACCAGTGGAAACAGTTTTTCCCTTTCTAACCTATCAAATCCCTTCATAATTTTCAAGACCTCTATTAGGTCTCCTCTTAACCTTCTCTGCTCCAATGAGAATAATCCTCACCTCACTTGCCTTTCCTCATAATCAAGGTCCCTCATTCCTCGTAAATCTTCTGTGCATCCTTTCCAATGCCTTATCCTTCCTATAGTGTGGTGCCAGAACTGGGCGCAGTATTCCAACTGAGGCCTAACCAGTGTTTTATATAGGTTAATCATAACCTCCTGACTCTTGTACTCTATGCCCCTATTTATAAAGCCTAGTATCCCATATGCCCTTTTTACAGCTTTATCTACCTGTCTTGCCACCTTCAAGGATTCATTTACCTGCACCCCTCTGTTCTTTTACCCCCCTTAAAATTGAATTACCAGCCTATATTGCCTCCCCTCATTCTTTCTACCAAAATGCATTACATCGCATTTCTCCACATTGAAACTCATCAGCCATGTGTCTGCCCATTTTACCATTCTGTCTATGTCTTCCTGCAGTTGGCTTCTCACTGTTTACTACCCTACCTTACTTTGTGTCGTCCGCAAACTTGTAAATGGTGCTTGCTATACCCAAGTCCAGATCATTTATGTATATTAACAACAACAACAACAAGATTCCATTTATAGAGCGCCTTTCAAGTCGGGAGGACGTCCCAAGGCGCTGTACAGTTGGGTCAGGACCCGAGTGGGGGAAAATGGTCAGGATGAGGGGAAGGGAGGGAACGAGGAGGGGGTAGAGAGTCGAGAGGGGAGCTGAAGGCACAGTCAAAGAGAAAGGTCTTGAGACCGGCCTTGAAGGAGGAAAGGGAGGAGGCGGCGAAGGCACTGGGGGATAGAGTTCCAGAGCCTAGGGGGTGAGAGGCTGAAGGCCCGGCCACCGATGGTAGGGCGGTTGGGGCGAGGGATGTGGAGCAGACCGGAGCCAGAGGAACGGAGGGTACGGGCAGGTAGGTAGGGGGATAGTAGGTCAGAGAGGTAGGAGGGAGCAAGGCCGTGAATGGCCTTGTAGGTGAAGATGAGGATCTTGAATTCGATCCTCTGGGGGATGGGGAGCCAGTGGAGGCGAGCGAGGGTGGGAGTGATGTGGTCACGAAGCCTGGTGTGGGACAGTACACGAGCTGCAGAGTTCTGAATGACCTGCAGCTTGTGGAGAGAGGTGCCGGGAAGGCGGGCGAGAGTTCCCATAGTCCAGCCTTGAGGTGATAAAGGCGTGGACCAGCTCCACCTCCTTGCCCCACATATCACAGACATCGTCAACCTGTCAAACCAAGTTTCAGCAGCGTGAGGGGTGAGGTAGTGCCATAGTCTGGCGATGTTCCGGAGGTGATGGAAGGCGGTGCCAGTTGTGGCGCGGATATGAGGGAGAAAGGACAGCTCAGGGTCGAATAGAACCCCGAGGTTCCTGACTGGCTTTGAGAGGTGGAGAGTGCTGCCTTGGATGCTGATGCTGTCAGCGCCTGAGGTGCGGAAGCGCTGATGCGAGCCAATCAGGAAGGCATCAGTTTTACGCACGTTGAGCTGAAGAAAGTTGTCTCTCGTCCAGGACTCGATGTCGGACAGGCAGCTGTCAGGACATCGGTGGTCGTGGAGATGAGGGTAGAGGAGGAAAGGTAGAGTTGGGTGTCATCCGCATACATGTGGAAGTTAACCCCATGTCTGTGGATGATGTCACCACAGGGGGAGCATATAGAGGGTGAAGAGGAGGGGACCGAGGACAGAGCCCTGAGGGACACCGCACAAGATAGTGCAGGGGCTGGAGGAAAAGCCGTTCGTGGAAACAAAGTGAAGATGGTGGGAGAGGTACGACCTAAACCACTCAAGGACAGGGCTTTGAAGGTTGAGGTGGGAGGACAAGCGGTGGAGGAGGATAGCATGGTCGACTGTATCGAATGCTGCCCATAGGTCGAGGAGGCAGAGGGAGCCCTGGTCACAGATGGTCAGGATGTCATTGGTGACCTTGACCAGGGCAGTTTCTGTGCTATGGGCAGCACAGAAACCCGACTGAAGGGGTTCGAATAATGAATGGGTGGAGAGGAAAGAGCGCAGCTGGGAGGCGACAACTCGTTCCAGGACCTTGGACAGGAAGGGGAGGTTGGAGATGGGCCGGTAGCTTGATAGCTGCGACGCATCAAGGGAAGGTTTTTTCAAGGTGGGAGTGATGATGGCAGTTTTTAAGGGAATGGGAACAGAGCCAGAGGAGAGGGACAGGTTGATGATGTCTGATATGTGGGGCAAGGAGGTGGAGCTGGGAGATAAGGAGTGGGGAGCAGGTGGTGGGTTTCAGGGATAGGATGAGTTTGGTGACCTAGGGTGGGGAAACGGGTACGAAAGTGTGTAGGGGAGGATAGGTAGGAGTCGGAGTGTGGGAGGGAGGGCGTGGGGGGTGGGTGGATGTTGGAGGGGAAGTGACCGCGGAGCGAATTCCCTTGATTTTGGATTGAAGGAAATCCAGCATCTCCTCGCAGTGAAGGTTGGAGGAGATGACCTGCGTGGGGTGGCGGGGGGACGGAGGAGTCGGGATGTGGTAGAAAACAGTAGCCTGGGGTTGTTTGTCGCCTCCAGGATTATCCTGGAGTAGAAGGACGATTTGGCCGAGGCTAGAGTGGAGCGGTAGATTTTGAGGAGGTCCAGCCAGATTTGTCGGTGGACTGTTAGGCCAGATTTGACAGGTGCGTTCAGCGGCCCGCACCTGGCTGTTCAGTGAGCGGAGGTGGGTGGTGAACCGGGGGAGGAGCGAGAGTAGGAGACAGTACGGAGGTGATGGGGGAAGGAGTGTCAAGTGTGGAGGAGAGGGTGTTGTGGAGGAGGGTGAGAGGAGAAGAGGGGTCAGTGAGGGTTGAAGGCCAGAGGGAGAGGAGTTCAGAGGACTCCAAGGCAGCGGTTAGGGATTGTGGGGGTAACTTCTTCCAAGGGCGGTAGAAGATGGTGGTGGGTCTGGTGGAGGTGGGGAGGGGGGTGGAGGTGGTGAAGGAGATGAAGTGGTGATTGGAGACGGCCTTGTCGGTGATAGTGACATCCGAGACACTGAGGCCCCGGGTGATCACCAAATCGAGTGGGTGGCCGTGACTGTGAGTGGGGGAGTTGATGTGGAGGGAGAGGTTGAGTGAGGAGAGCAGGGAAGAGAAGTCTGAGGAGATGGAGCAGGAGGGGGTGAAGTGCAGGTTGAAGTCGCCCAGGATGATGAAGCGATCAGAGCAGAGGCAGAGAGATGTAAGAAGTGTCGAAATATCGGAGATGAAGGTGGGAGAGGTTTTAGGGGGCCGGTAGAGGAGGAGGATTTTGAGTGAGAGGAAGGAGGGGTGGGAGAGGGTGAGGTGCTCGAAAGAGGGGAAAGAGACGGAGGAGTAGGGGGATAGGGCAAGTGGTGTCCTTGAGATAAGGGCTACACCACCGCCACGGCGGTTGGGGCGAGGGATGTGGTGGGAGGTGTAGCCGGGTGGTGTGGCCTCCGTGAGGGGAAGGTGTTGCCTGGGGTGAGCCAGGTTTCCGTTAAGGCCATTATGTCAACGCTCTCATCAAGGATGAGATCGTTGATGACCAGGGCCTTGTTACAGAGCGTGCGGACGTTTTGTAGTCCGATGTGGAGGGAGCGGTTGACAGAAGGGTGTGTGGGAGGGGAGGGGGGTCCAGGTTATGAGGCAGGCAATAAGGGAGGAGAGCTTGGCTCCCCGGGTCTGTGTCCGGGGTGGCTGGTGAGTGTGGTGCGGAATGGGGCAGTTGGTGTGGCTGCTGCTGGACAAACAACGCCGAGTGCCACGGTGAGCCCGGCGGAGAATTCCCAGGCTGGAACAGAGGGAGGTTGTAGGAGGGTCAAGTGGGGATAGAAGGCGAGAGGGACGGAGAGAGAGGACAGAGCGGGAGAGATGCAGAGGTTGGAGGGTTTGGGGGTAGGGAGGAGGGAGGGAGGGGGTGAGGGGGCTCGGGTCAAAGCGGCAGCCATAGTGCGCACGCGGGGACCGGGAGCGAGCCGTCAGGTGGATGGCATTATCCCATAGACTGGGGCAGCCAACCCAACAGGACCATGGAGGGGTCTGATGTGAACTTTGGAGGGGTGGGGTGGTGGCGCAGAGGTTTTTTTTTTTTGTTGCGCGCGCACACTCCTGAAAACTAAACTATGACATCAGCGGTTCCCCGAACGTAGGCTCAGGCTCCTCCTCGCGCTGTCCTGCCACCGCTCCCCGTGTGGCTGCACTCCCTGCCGCCTCGTGCTTAAATACCTGGGTAGGTAGGCCCAGGCTCCTCCCCGCGCTGTCCTGCCGCCGCTCCCTGTGGCGGTGCAGAAGAGCAGTGGTCCTAATACCGATCCCTGGGGGACGCCACTGTACACTTCCCCCCAGTCAGAAAAGCAGCCGTTCACCACAACTCTCCACTTTCTGTCTCCCAGCCAGTACTGCCACTGTCCCTTTTATACCATGGGCTTGTCCTTTCTTACAAGTCTTTCATGCGGCATTTTGTCAAATGCCTTTTGAAAGTCCATATAAACTACATCAACTGCACTACCTTTATCCACCCTCTCTGTTACCTCATCGAAAAATTCTATTAGATTTGTTAGACAAGATTTGCCTTTAACAAATCCATGTTGGCTGTCCCTAATTAACCCATATTTTTCTAGGTGAAGATTTATTCTGTCCCGGATTATAGTCTCCAGGAGTTTCCCCACTACTGATGTTAGGCCGACTGGCCTGTAGTTCCCAGGTTTATCCTTCCGTCCCTTTTTGTACAGGGGAGTCACATTGGTCACTCTCCAGTCCTCTGGCACCACCGCTGTGTCCAACGAAGATTGAAAAATTGTAGCCAAAGCCTCCGCTATTTATACCCGTGCCTCCCATAGTAATCTTGGTTGCATCCCGTCCAGACCGGGCGACTTATCTACCTTCACAGCAGTCAACCTTTTCAGTACTTCCTCTCTATTTATACTTATCCTATCCATTTTCTCTACGCTCTCCTCCGATACTGCAGCATTTGGTGCATCCACTTCTGTTGTGAAGACAGACGCAAACTACTCATTCAGCACATCAGCTATGCCCTCTGCCTCCACAATAAGATTTCACCCTTGGTCCTTAATTGGCCCCACCCTACCTTTGACTAGCCTTTTATTCTTGATATGCTTGTAAAATATTTTAGAATTCCCTTTAATGTTACTTGCTAACCTTTTTTCGTATAATCTTTTTGCCCCTCTTATTTCCTTTTACAAACCTCTTCTGCACTTCCTATATTTGGTTATCTTCTGTATCTTGGGTTTCACACCTGTCATACGCCTCCTTACGCTGCTTCATTCTAGATACAATTTCCTTCGTCATCCAGGGAGGTTTGGAAGCCCTACTTTTCCCTTTTGTGGGAATGTATTTATTCTGTCCCCGAGCTATCTCATCCTTGAAGCCTTCCCACTGTTCTTTAGTTGTTTTGCCTGCCAATCCTTCTTTCCAGTCCACCTTGGCTAGGTCCCTTTTTAACTCACTGAAATTTGCCCTCTTCCAGTTGAATATCTTCACCTTAGATGGTTCCTTGTCTCTTTCCATATGCACTCTGAATCTAATGATGTTATGATCACTCTTGCCCAGATGCTCTCCCACTGACACCTGCTCCACTTGCCCTACTTCATTCCCCAGAACTAGATCTAGCACTGCTTCCTTCCTTATTGGGCTGGAAACGTACCGATCAAGAAAGTTGTCCTGTATGCATTTTAGGAATCTTTCCCCCTCCTTGCCCTTTGCGCTGTTGTTTTGCTAGTCTGTGTTGGGATAATTAAAGTCCCCCATTATTACGACTCTATTGGCCTTGCATCTATCTTGAGATCTGCTTGAAGATCTGCTCATCTATTTCCTTCCCACTATTTAGTGGTCTCTTGTATACTCCTACCAGTGTAACAGTTCCTTTTTTGTTCCTTAATTCTAATCAGATAGATTCTGTTTTGGGCCCTCCAGCACCTCGACCCTTTCCACAGCTATAACCGTATCCTTGATTAACATTGCCACAACCCTCCTTTTTTTCCTTCCCTAGCCCTCCTGAATACATTAGAGCCAGGAATATTCAACTTGAGCCAAGTCTCTGTTACTGCTACTACATCGTATCCCCTATGACCACTTGAGCCTGCAGCTCACCAATCTTGTTTGCTAAACTCCGTGCATTTAGGCACAGGCACTCCAAGACCGACTTGACCTGTTCTGCACTTCCCCCCCCGTATTGTTTTCTCTATTTGCTAACTCTTTGTTTTTTGCATTCCTTTCCCCCTTCAAAACTAGTTTAAACCCTTCCAAACAGCATTAGATAGCCTGTCTGCAAGCACATTCGCCCCAGCCCTATTTAGGTGCAACCCATCCATATGATACAGGTCCCACTTGCCCCAGAACTGGTCCCAATGATCCAGAAACCTGAAGCCCTCTTTTCTGGACCATTTCTCCAGCCAAGCATTCATATGCTTGATCCTGCCATTGTGGTACTTAATAATAAAATAATCCTTGCATTTGATATAGCGCTTTTCACGTCGGGAGGACTATTTGCCTGAGGCACAGGGAGTAATCCAGAGATCGACACCTTGGATGTTCGATTCTTTAGTATGTTCCCCAGCTTTTGATATTGATTCTGTAGAGTCTCAGCCCTTTTTTTTACCAATATTATGGATCCCCACCTGGACTACCACTTCTGGATGTTCTCCTTCCCCCTGAAGAATTTCTATCCACCCTTTCTGCGATGTCTAAGACTGTTGCACCAGGGAGGTAACATACCATCCTTGATTCCCGTCTTCTGTTACAGAAACGTCGGTCTATACCTCTCACTGTTGTATCCCCTATAACAACAGCATTGCTCCTGTTACCTATGTCCCCCTGTTCCACCAATCGGTTTTCACTGTCCTACCTGGAGATATCAACATTCTCAACGTTCAGTACAGAGTACTGGTTTGAGAGTGCTACACTATTGGGGGCATTCTCCCCAGTCCATCCCCTCTTCCTACCATGCCGGACAGTCACCCAATCATTTTCCATCTGAACCCTCGGTGTGTGGGATGGGGTGACCACCTCTTGAGGTGTCTGGTCCATCAAATACTCACATCCGTTGAACAAGTTTGAAGCCCAAGGCTCCATCACCCCTCTCTCAGGGGTCCCATTATCTGCAGGACTGATGAAACCATCCTGTCCCTGAGCATTAACCGGATGGAAGCATCTCCTGAGCCTCAGGGGAGTGATGGTTTCCTCCATCATCCAGGAACCTCTCACTGTCCCTGAGACCTGAGTTCAATTCCAGGCAGGGCGAAATCATGGGCAAGTTTCCTTACTCCACACGCCTAATAATAATCCCTCCAAAAACAATAAGAAATTGGTCATTTTCAATCTACGACTGTTTGTGGGACATTGCTGTGCGTTCGCCCACAAATATACAGTCAATTCACTTTACAGTGTGTTCTGTAAAGCGCTTTGGGACATCCTCCCGACGTGAGAAGCGCTATATCAAATGCAAGGATTATTATTATTATGGAGCACAAGGTCTGCACCTCGGCTTCCAGCTCAGCTACTCTCAGCTGGAGCTTCCTGAGTTGCGGACACTTGCTGCAGATGAAGTCGCCCGGGCTCATAGCCTCCCACATGTCACAGACCTCACATTTAACTTGCCACATCATCTTCTCACACAGTGTTTTCAATATTTTTTATTTTGTTTTTTTGTTTTAATTTGCCGTCAGTGTTGTGGTTTTTGACAGTTTGTTGATGTTTGTCCCTGGTTCGGCTGTTGAAAAATGACATCACACCTACGTCACTTTTTCTTTTTTTTCGTCGCTCCAACAGTTCAGAGACTGCTGCTCCTTTTATGCTGATCCCTAAGCCCAGGCTCCGCCTCCGCTCTGTACTGATTGCTCTCCCCGAGTGGAAATTGTTCAAATAAAATGTAATGTACCCAGATCTTTTTTTTTCCCCGTCTCTGTTTTCAATAGGGACAGCAGTCGCTGGACAGACATCTGACTTTGTCAATCAAGTGTTGGAAAAAACAGGAGAAGGGGACCCAACAGGTGGTCTTGATGGTCTTCGAGTACCCACATCAAAAGTGTAACGTGCCACCGTCTGTCAAAAACAGCTTTAGCCTCTAGTTACATGTTGGCCATTTTTGTGATAAATGTTTGATTCATTACAGCAAGCAACCTTTTGTTAGTTGTATTAGACCTGCTTTGAAGAGGAGAAAAAGATCTCATGTTAACGCATTAGAGTTCTATAAAACCAATAATCAATATAAGTATGGTTGTGTATGCTCAGGTACAGCAAAGTCAATTTTATTCACTTACAATTTGAAGTGACCTAGAGATTGATACATAGTGTATGAGATGCTGGTTGGAAGCTTATGTTAAGTTTCAGTAGAAACACGGTTGAAGTGATTGAATCAAGAAATCAAAAAAATTATAGTTTGTAGTTATTTTTAATGTTAAAACCTGTTGGCGAATATTTTTCTCGTTAACACCATTACTATAGTTCCCTTTGTATATACTATATTCTTATATCATTAAGAATGCGTTAAATATTTCATATAGTAAATGACATGGCCTTTTTCAGAGCATTGCATAAGTATTTAAGTTTGAGAAAGGAGTAATATTCTTTGTGCCTTGTATTTAAAAAAATAAAAGAATAGTTGTAAGGTGTAATAGATGTACAGTGAGTAAATTTTATGGATTTAAAAGTATTTGTTTATTTTCACTCTTTGGCTGTTTAAAACCATTATGAATGTATATAGGAACATTTCAATGATGTAGATATATGCCACAGAGTCTGTATTGTATAAAGATGGATATTGAAACAAGGGTTTCGGTACTGTTCAGAAATATTTGCACACTATTTTGATTGTTTATTTTGTACCAAAGACAAATGCAATTATATGGCAGAATGCCAGTGAAGTAAAGTTTTGCACAGCTTACACTGATACTGAATTGAATGTAATAAGGGTTGGGGTTAGGGTTTTACTAGAACTGTGAAATCTGTTGCGTGGGTCCAAATATCCACAGAAAGAGGAGTATACTTTATACTTTATAAGTATACAAGTATACTTTATAAGACTTTGCTAATCCTATAACTCTATTGTTAAGCTTGTAGAAAAATCAGATATTGAAAGAGTTCATGAGCTCTTTATTTTCTGCAAACGTAGGTGTATAGCAAAAAGAATGTAATTCTTATGTAGTTTTGTGTTAACATTTCAGTATAATATAGTGGCTTGCAATTGCTACATTACAAACGGGGGAAGCATGTATATGGTATACTCTTCAACCAAGGCAAATAACCAAAATTTAATTTTTACAATATTTATACTATTGTATAAAATGTATATGGCCTACATATACTAAAAATCCTAAGTTGCCACCTTTTGCATTAATTGCATGTCAGATTTTTAAATGTTGATCGGATGTAAGAAGCTCTTCTAAAGCTATATATTTTTGTATTCTTCAATTAGATAACCTAAATACATAATGTAAAGAGTAAATATGTGAATACTGTTAATCTTATTTGCTGATTGCTATAGCTTATGCAACTAAGATATTATACATAGACCAACTTAGTTTTTCGCTTTTGTTTTGTAGGCATTGCTAGTAACTGGATTGAAAAGTTAGTTATGTCACTTTAGTGGGTCATGGGTACAAAAGGTGCTTCACACATAACTGACTTCATTCAAAGCAAAGTACTACACAGCCAAGAGGTGTTGTAGGACTTCAGAATCTAACCTTTACATCCATTCTGTATACTACTGGCAATCTAGAAGTGTAGTTTTGTTTAAGTATTCCATGTAAATAAAGAGATTGAGCTTATTCATTGAAAACATTTTATTTTATGAATATTAGAAAAGCACTTTGTCACATTGCATTTGTGTTCCTCCCATTTGCTGCTACTCTTGACCTGTAAGAATGCTACAGTGATACTTGATTTATACCTGTTAGTAAAATGTATATTTCCTTGTGGGTAACAAGATGAAAGCAAGCTGTGCAGCTTTACATTTTACCAGGGGACTCTGTGGCATTAAACAGTCTAGAAATGGTTGTAATTTGATGCCAGTAATATCTTGCTTCCTTTTTCCATGAAATATTTTAATGTATGTTAATATATAAAAAATAACCTTATAAAAAGAGAAATGTATAATGTTCTACTTGGAATTTTGATATACTGAGCATGTTGAGTGTTCCTGTAGTGATTGGTTTATCCTTGTCATAAGCTTTGGAAGAACAGACTTTGATGCTATCTGTAGTCAGGAGATAAGCTTGTAGCACTGAAAAGTACTTCTATAAATTGAAGACTGCTTACTCTCGTCTTTGGATTTTAAAGTTGTTGTTTTTCATATCAATAGGCTGCATTAATCACCCACCTGTTCTCAACAGCGTTTTTTTTATTCAGGCACAATTGCAACCAGTTTTACAACGCAGCCAAGCCTAGATTTAGCAACCACCTTACACTAAACCACCAAATTGGTATTTGGTTCAATCAAAAGATTGACTCCCACCCCCCCACCACACACGCATTGTGTGTTTTATGTACTGGTAAGCCAAAACAATGGAAATCAAAATTAAAAGCAAGCAGGTCCATTGAGAAGTAGAAACCCGGCAGCAAAGCAACCAGAAGCTTCAAAGCAAACTTTAAGCCTTAATAAAGTGGGTTATCAAATATAACCTTTTACATGTGCTAACAGAATTATGTTGACAGCTAAACTTGAATTCAGCTAAGCTAAGTCTTATGATGGTTTAGGTGGTGAATTGAAGTGTAATAGAGAATAATTTTAGAGCTTAGGATGATGACTAATGCTGCACAAAATCACATTGATGTGAAAGCTGTTCATTCTTTAAATTTATTTGGATATTTTAAGATGAAATATCTCAGTGGTATTCTGTGTATGTAGTATTATGATTGGCCATAAAACGACTCAAAATTCCTCATTCCAGTGTCCTGTCTCTATCCTCTCACCACAACTCCAGTGAAGTATTTTATAATTAAATACATTTTTGTTTGTGAAGGCTAACATTCCAAATATCGGTCAACAAATTTTAATTTTATTGTTTGTTTATGTTAATTGTGAAATTTAGCTACCATGTATACCTCCATAGTAAATGGCAAATTTAGTATAAGGTCCTAGTTTATATTTAAGCCCAGTAAACATCAGAATGTTTATTTGTGTTCAGAGTTTTGAGTACATAGAGTATTCCGCAAGATGTGGAAATGGGAAACCCCCTCCAGTTCTAGATTGGTTTCTGAATGGATCGGTTTGATCTGATAATCCAGTGATTTCCTAGTCCACACAATTAAAAACACTGCAATTGTATGTATGTACTTCAGTTTCATTTCAATGAAATTTGTGGTCAAAATAGGAAAAGGGGAGTTGCGAAGAAGGTTTCCTAACATAATTTCATCTGCAACTAGTGTCCCGTGGGGTGGTTGTAGAATGTTAAAGCATAGCTCTTTCCTTTACTCCTTAAAATGTAATGCTCTGCAATGATTAAGTGATTGGGTTTTCACTTAAAAGTTGACAGGTGTGTTGGTCCAATACTATCTACTTCAAGAGAAAAACAAATTGTGTTTGAAACACAATATATAAATATATATATTTAGTAGTGGCACAAAAAATTATTAGTTTTGAAATCTTGGTCATTTATGCAGTAGTCTTCCATCCATGAATTAAATGAAAACAGTGCTCGCTTTACAAGACATTTTGAACTTTGGTCTGCTTTCTTTTTATTTGGTACTACAGCCAAGTGTTGTGTTTGACTGGCCAAATAATGGCCTGCAACCATAATTTTGTTCACTCCTAACAGTGTTCTTCATTTTAATTCTTCCAGTCTTGGTTTCAAAACACAAGATGGTGTGATTGATGCAGATGGGTGGAGAGAATTCAAAATTATGGCAGTTCACATCTTGTCACTGTCTAATGAAAAGTTACACAATGTATATAATGTCATAAGAAAAATATCCTGGATTTTACTTTCATTTCTTGCGTATTATCAATTTATGGCATCATTAAGTTAAAATACTTGTACGCAGCAAAGCATTGCAAAGTAGATATTCATCATTAATCTTAGTGTAATAAAGAAAGCCAGACTTAGTGAAAACTGCTTGTAAAATAAAAGTGATGGTTGCCTTTTTCTAAGAAAGCTGTTTTAGTGGAATCTTTGGTTGTAATTGATATGTTCATCTATATAAACTGCTGTTGCATCCCATAAAGAAAACTCTGTGTGTGTATGTCATACTTAGAATTTGCATCAACTAATTATAAGTGACGTGTACAATAACAATTGCTTGCTTCCTTCCCTCTTCCCCACCCCCACCCCCCCACCCCATATCTTACCGACTTTATTTAATTAAGCCTGGTGGGCAAAAGCAATGTGTTCACGGTATTTGATGTTCATTTTAAACCCAACAATTCCACGATCCATTGAAATGAAACCATTATTTATATTGTACCCGGAGGGAGTAAAACTCACGTTGATTAAAATTCTGTGTCAACTGTACTGTACATGTTTTTGTTTTTAATGTGCCTTTTATAGAGGGTTAATGGCTCCCAGAATATATTGGCTGAAAGTAATAATGTCCAATCTTCATTTAACATTGCGTTGGTACCTTGGTATATGTCGTTTGGATGATACTTTGCTGATTTTTAAAGTGGAAAACAGCCTTTTTGAAAATAATTTTTTTTTGGGGGGTTCATTCCACATTAGATTTTATTTGGGTAGTATTAAAGTATGACAATCCACATCAACAGTAGCACAAAAANGACTTTCCAACAACATTAGAGGTTTAACTCTCGACAGCGCAGTATTGTACTGGCTGCTGTCAAGCTAATTGAATCTTAAAGACTGAACTACAACTGTGCAAATGTGTTCTGGTGAAAGAGCTATCACTCCAAAATTAACTGTTATGAATAGTTGTGGCTACTGATTGATTGGCTTTTTCAAATGAGCGGTCATGGGTAACAATAAAGGTCACATGGAAATATTAGCTGATGTAAAGAAAAGGTGAAAGACAAACTAAGTATGGGTAATGATCGGCCAGTGTGTTTATAGCTTGAATGGTATGACTGGGATTGATGGTGATACACGGCAGAGCCTTGTATTACAACTGATTTTATATTAATTTAAATCAATGTTTGAGTGTATATAGATGTACTGTGCCATTTAGTGGTAGGACATGGGTTTGCATCCATGATTCCCCACATGCTGAGGTCCAGTTTTGGCTATACCATTGGATGGTGACACCAAATAGTGGTCAGGGATATTCTCACAGGAAGGGAGAGAGCATTTTGGCGAGCAAGTTATTTTGGGCTTCACTCACACACTTGGTTAGTTACAAATGGCCTGGGTGTAGGCGAACTGTGCACCTGCTTGGCTGGGGAATTGGGCAAGGTACAGCGAGACCTTTTTAAAAAAAAGTGGTGGGGGAGGGGATGGAGAGTAATGGTAATTACCAATTATACTAAATGTATGTTAATGACAACCTGGAGGCATTTTGTTCAAACCTCTGTGTAGGTTTATGCTAGTGAAAGGGTTTTAGTTCATATTAATTTGCTGACTACAGAAACATGTGGAACACAATGAACAATGTTGTGTTGTGTTTTGGTGATTGTGCCCCTTTAACAATTTTCTTATTGCATTGTATCAGCCAGGTGTTGGTACTACAGCTTCTTGTAACCACAGTCTGAATTTCATATTGTTTTGCAGAGATTATAATAAAGTAACTAAACTGCAGAATGTGTGTGCCTCAAATCTTATTTTATTTTTGTTATATATTGCACCAAGTTGAAAGCAAATGGACACATAGAAACATAGAAATCCTACAGCACAGAGGGTGGCCATTTGGCCCATCAAGTCCACATTGACTCCAGAGTAAGGAGATCAGTTTAATTTGCATATCCATCTCTAGAATTTTACTGTAGCTCAGTGGCTGGAGCACTCACCTCGCAAGCGAGGGGACTTGGGTTCGATTCCCGGGCAGGGTGAAACATTAGGCAAGTTTCCTTACTCCACATGCCTGTTTACCTCGGAACCCGGTTCTTCGTCGATTGACGGATCGCTTTTCCAGGAGTAATACCTTAAAAAAAATGTACCATTTGGTCACTCAATCCACCACTGTTTGTGGGCTGTTGCTGTGCGCAATTGGCCACCGTGTTTCATACACAAAATATATGGTTAATTAACTATATGCTGTCCCTGACCACTAAGTAAATAGTCTGGAGTGAGGTTTATTTTGCATTCCACTGCATGTCTGGACATGTGGGTTTGTGGCTCATGTGCAGTGTATCAGTGAGTGCTGTGGGTGGGATGTGGGAGGAGCACGTGCAGTGCGTGAGTGACGTCCTCCCGACGTGGCGGCGCTTTACCACGTGATGTGAGTGAGTGGCGCCGCCCCCGCGCGGCCGCCGTAGTTGCGGAGCGAGTGATGGCGGCGCCGGATGTTCATGTGCGGATCTGCGCTCAGGAGATCGTCAAATATGACCTGGAGATCAAGGCGTTGGTGCAGGTACCGGGGCCGCGGCTGCTGTGGCCCTCTGTGCACATTGCCCTCAATGTTGGTCCCCGCGCCGCACAGTCTGCGAAGCTGTTTGAGCCGCTGAGGCCTGAGAGTCGCTCTGACGCTCTGTCAGGATTATGTGATGATGATGTTATTACCGTTTAAATCACCATTGGGGGAGTTTCTGGGTGGATCTCAGTGACTGTCAGTCACACTCATACACCGCCGCCTGACAGAGGGATGTTACTTTTCTCAAATAATAACAATAGAATTATACAGCACAGAGAAAGAGGCCATTCGGGCCATCTTTGAAAAGAGGAATCCGAATCAGCCCCACTCCCTCCCCACAGCCCTGCAAACTTAGTGACGTTGCCAAGTCCTGCAAAGCTATAATAATCCTTATATTTCATCAGCGCTTTATTACAACATTGAGATTGATAAATTAGCTGCCGCGTTTCGCCCACTGAATACAAAGTCAGTTCACTTCACAGGGTATCCTGTGAAGCGCTTTGAGACGTCTCGAATAAGGCGCTGTATCAAATGCAAGGATTATTATCACCTGGTGAGGCACTTTTAAGACCTCTCGATGAAGTGATAGGGCGCTGTATCAAATACATGGATTATTATTATCCGTTGGGCGTCTGCCTTGCATTGTTGTAGGCAGCTGAGCTTGGGGACAGGGTAAAGCAAAGCCCTTAAACTGAAACAGTGGCTTGTGTATTTTTAACCAGCCTTCCTACTTTTATAAAAGCTCAGATTCCATTTCCCAGAATTTGACTCTATTTTGCTCTGTTTTTCAGTGCTTTAGAACATCCTCCCAACGTGAAAGGCGCTATACAAAATGTAATTTGTTCTTGTCTGAAAGCGCTTCACAGTAAAGTGGAGGCACCGTGTATTTTTGGGGTGAAATGCGGCAGCAGATTACGCACAGTAATGTCCCACAAACAGCCATGCAGTGAGTGACCAACGTTTTCAATATTGTAGACACAAATTACAGATGAGCTATCTACACACAGGATGTTTGCTGAAGTCCGCATGTCTTTGGCAAAGTTCTGTACAATATATTCACATTTCAGCACTTGGATAATGCCTGGATTTTGGAACATGCTATTGGTTTCTTTGCAGGATATCAGGAACAGCCCAGGGCCCCTGAGTTTGCTCACTGAGTTGAATGCGAAAGTGAAAGAAATGTTTCAGCAACTCCGATTTCGAATACAGGTGAGTTTCGTCCTGAAAGTTGAATCATCAATATTGTGGAATTTACAGTAGGCTGGTTTGGATACCTTTGACTATGGTGATAGATTTCCGCATGTGTCAGACACCCCACTGACCAAAAAAATGAACACATGTAGCATCTATTCCTTAATTGAGTTTCCTTCAAAAGCAATTTTGCATTTATTTTTCAAAAAAAAAATACCTGTTAGTTCATTAATTGCCTTCCAATGGTAATATGTTGTGTTCAGTTAAATCCCACATATTGCTGTGTGGCTCAATCTTGGGTGTCCCTTGTACAGCCTTGCCAGCCAAACATGGAAAGATAAGAAATCTCAAAACTTCTATTATAAAATCCTCTTTTGCTGAAGGCAAAGTGATTCATTCAACGGGATCAACAGAAATAGCCATGGATTATATGAAAGATTCTGTTAGTTTACCTTTAGTGGGTCAGTGTTTCTGATCTTTGAGCTGTGTCTTACAAACAACTACTGAGATGCTTCTCTAATATTGCGGAAGGATCTGGAGCAGATGGCGAAGGAACAAGACCGGGAATCTGATAAGCAAGCTCTGCTGGCTGAGGTGGCCAATCACCGCAAACAGATGTTGAGGTAACCGGCGCTCCATCTGAACACCTCTCAAGTGTTCTCAGCTAGCATACATTTCGAAGGTCATATACTTGTCTGCTGTACTCAAAAAGGTTCTGTAACTTTAATGATATTGAGATGCCAGAGGGAACGAGCACAGGAGGTAGCTTTAGGACCCCCATACTGTGTTTTTCAGCATTTATCTCAATTTACCTTTTACTAACCAGGTCTTTTTGCGAGTTTTCCCCCAACATGTCTGAAATACTTTCCACCAGACTTACCTTCAGCTTTGTGATTTAAAAAGGAGTTGGATCAGAGAGGAATGGATGGCAAGGGGGGAATGGAGGAGGCAAGATGACCGATAGTACGGTCAATAGCACTGTGACAATGGACCAAGTGTTGCAAACTATCTCTATTGGTTCATTGCCTGCTATCCTCACAGCAACACTGACGATGTCCTATGTTCCTTCGAAGCAACCAAACCACTTGGCGAAAGGCAAACCTGGCCTGCAAGCTTGCCATAGACAACAGTGAAAAAGATGAGTTGCTGCACGCTGGCGATTCTTCTCTCCGACAGCGGTAAGTTCACTCCCTCGAGAGCTCATTTTATTTCTGCTCTGATACAAGCCACAGAGGAATCACTGTGCACCCTCCCAGTTTTTTTTAATGATAATCCTTGCATTTGATATAACATGAATCAAAGTCCTCATAAGGACATGATGTAATATGACTACTGTAATAAATGGTTAGCCCTTTCTGTCGTTCGCAATTTTTTTTATTATTAAGTGGAACACTAAGAAATTTGCCATCCAGTGTAAAGTATGCTTAGAACAATGAATATCTTGGAGACCAGACACATAGGCCTGGATTTCAGTGTCCAGATCTGAGTTTAGATGGGAAGAGAACGAGATGAATTTGGATCACAATGAAAGGCGATGAAAAATGACAGACGACTCACGGTGTTGGAATCAATTGCCTTGGGTTACAGAAAAATGACAAAGGAGGGTTTGGTTCAGACAGCGAGCAGCATCACAGAGAGCCTGATGAGCATCAGCCGAATGATGGCACAGCAGGTGGAGCAGAGTGAGGAGTCAGTACAGTCACTGGGTAAGCACAACCTGCGTTTATCCAATATCTTTCACTCAGGGTAACAGCTCAGAGCGCTTCACAGTGATGGGGTCGGAGAGTGAGTGTACCTGTACAATTAATGCCTACTGCCTTTTAGAGGATAGAGTTCAAAATCCTCATCCTCGCTTTCAAAGCCCTCCATGGCCTTGTTCCTTCCTACCCTTGGGCCCTGCTAACCCCATGCCGACCTATCTGCTCCCTCTGCTTAGTGGACTCTGGCCTGCTTTTGGTGTTTTTAACCCCACCCTGGAACTCTGTCACACAGTACACCCCTTGCCTCCTTCAAAGTCCGCTTCAAGACCTTCCACTTCGACCGTGCCTTTGGCCACTCTCCTACGCCTTCCTCCCTACCCTCCACCCCTCCTGATTCCAACCACCTGGGTTCAAATCCTTGACTGTCCAGTCAAGGATTTGAGTGTCCTCTCGACAGGAAAGGCGCTATACAAATGTCATGTGTTGTTGTTTTAGCAACGTCATCGAGAACTGTTCAGGAGACCAATGAAGAATTCAAAGCAATGACTGGGACCATCCAACTGGGACGCAAACTGATCACCAAGTACAACCGCAGAGAACTGACGGACAAGCTGCTCATCTTTCTCGCCTTGGCATTGTTTCTGGCGACTGTGGTGTACATCTTAAAGAAACGCCTGTTCCCTTTCTTATAGAACCGCATCAGGGTGCAGACACCAACTGGGAACCATTTATTTAAATACCGCATTGGTGAAGATGAAGGACCCACTACAGATCTTAAATTGTGAGGTGAAGTGAACTGAAATGGCAGCACACTCTATAGCCTCCTGGATTTTATCTTATGATCTATCCGTTCTATTCCTACCCAGAGGTTATAAGTAACTTAAGAAGGAAACACAACTGTTTTTCAGCATTAAAGGCCTCTACTTTGTTCATAGCCTGAGAATTGACACTAGCCACAGCAGTGTAAAAGCTAAGCCTTTAGAATACATACATTTTTAGTTAAAGTCTGACTCACATTGTATTGCATTAGATTCCACCATGTTATAAACGTCTGTTTGCTGACCACAAGTCTCGCTCTCACTGCTCCCTCCTTTTCGGAACATGGTTGACTTTTGTTTCCTTTCAGAGAGAGACAGGCACTATTCACTCACTTCATGTCTTTATTCACACGTGAATCTGGACAATGCGTGTCAGCAGCCAATTTAATATAGGGGGGGAGTGTGGCATCACAGCCAAATCTAATCCTATCATCGCTCTCTGAACAGGTTCAGCTGTAACACCCGGGACTGAAAAGCCAGCTGTCTGATGCTCACTGGCTGGGTTCACTTTGTGCTTCGGATGACCACTCGGGCAGGTACAGGGGAAGGGAAGCGAATGTGGAAACTTTACCCCAGTTAAAGCCAATATGTTTGGAGAGAAGGGGTTAACATCTGTTAGTTAAAAGTATAAGGTGGATCATAACATAATACTTAACTTGTGGACTTGAATGGCGCATAATATATTTTATTTTATTTCTGATGTTCTGCAGTCAGATATACAAATTTAGGTCTGGAGTGGCACTAGTTCGTACACAGTATCTGGTTATTTTCCATATATATTCTCTGGGACGTTATGCTGCATGAGGGGCAGTCCAAGTTGTTATATCTCAACATTGTAAATGCAAACATATCACTTTAATCTTGGAAACCTGTTTAGGAAAAATTCTTTCAAATCTAGGGTTTGCCGTAGTTCAATGGGTTTATCTCCCTCTGTGACTGAATAATTGGCACACTAGATTTAAGCAATAAACAGTGTGTTACTATACAATAATTGTTCTGAACATCTTGACATATGTTGAAATCCATCATAATGCTTAATTGAACCTGGGTCCTCTTGATTGCAAGGCGAGTGCTCTAACCAATACGAGGTTCTACAAGGTACCACAGAGCAAGCATCCTGCTGCCTCCCCCAGCTTTCCCACGCTACCCCTGCAGGTCTTGGTTTGCAGAGTTAACAGCAGTAATATAAAATCCTGCCTGTTTTATTTGCATCAATAAACCACATTCCAAAAAAAACACTTTGTGCAGCCAAAGTATTAAATGGTACAATAGTTAACAATGATACATCAAAAATTTTAATAATAATCCTTGCATTTGATATAGTGCTTTTATTGTTAAAAATTGTAACAATAAGACTAAATAAAGAACAGTGGTGAAATTAACCACCAGGTGGTACAGGAGAACAGTTTATTTCTTGAGTGAGATTTCAGTATAAACTTGCAATAACAAAAAAAATCCTTGTATTTGATACAGTGCCTCATCACATCTTCGAGACGTCTCAAAGCATTTCACAGAATATACTGTAAAGTGAATTGACTATATTATGTGGGTGAAACGGGAGTCGTGGATACATTTTGTACTACAAACGATCTACATAAAACCGGATTTATTTTGCATTTCATAAAATCTGAAGCTGGGACTGAGTGGTGTTTTAGGAATGTTTAAAGTATGTCACCAGTTAACTAAATGTCCCATTTGTCTCCTTATTGATCTTGATGCAAGAGAGGATCATACTGGATGTGGTTGCCTTTGGATCCCAGTTTAACACTGTTCTGACCCCTTGATCTTGCCCAGTTTTCACAAGCTGCAGGTGTCCGAAAGTCATGTTTCATGAGCCGGTGAGCTGTGTCTTGTGACTGCATCCTGGGACTGTGAATCAGAACATGTAGTCTTTAGAGTCAGAGGCAGTTGTGCCATTTCGACTGCATGAGTTCATTCATCTATTCATTCCGAAATAAAAGAGCACTAGGAATACTACCTGCTAATAATCCCTCAAAAAAAATGTGCTTACTCAATCCACAACTGTTTGTGGGACATTGCTGTGCGCAATCACATAAAGGTAACTCACTTTACAATATATTCTGTGAAGCACTTTGAGATGTCTCAACGATGTGATATGGAGGTATATCAAAAGCACGGATTATGATTATTACTGTATTTTATAGCTCTTCTCAAACATCTCAAAGGGCTTCACAAGTATTTGCTGTCAAAGGTAGAGCATTCATGTACTTTGCACTTGTTAGGTTTTGTTTCACCCGGTCAGACTCCAGCAGTTCCCCCCCACACTCTGGGGTTCCCAAGCCTTGGCTCTTGCCAACCTGCGCATACTATTTTCCAGAAATAGGTAAGCAGGATGCGTCCCTAAAGGGAGAGAGTGCGCATTCCATTCCAGCAATCTATCTGAAATTTCCACGTGTAGGTGGGTTGCATGGAATTCTCAGTTGCTTTGGATCCTCTTAAGCATGGTGATGAGTATCTGGATGTGTCCGACACCTGGCTGCCCCCCCAAAAAAACATTATTAAACCTCTCGATAATGTCATCAGTAATTAACCAATTTTTTTTAAAAAGCAACAGACAAGAACAAAGATTGTTATAAGAAATAGCCAGGGATTATTTGAATTCTCTAAAACTTACATTTTAAAAGTGATCTGTTGTGGAGATTCTAGATAGTTTTGCCCCCAAATATACAGTCAATTTACTTTACTGTGAAGCACGTTGAGATGTCTCAACATGATAAGGTGCTATATCAATTGCAAGGATTATTAGAAATTGTAACATTTCAATAACATAGCACAAGAGTTGGGCAGTTCAATACACTGGTGTACGGTTCTGCTGCTGCTGATTTGTAGCTGTGGTCTGGCTGAGATAACCAGCCGCAGGGAGGGAAGCTAGAGACATAAAAGTAATACGATATACACAAAACAGTACAACGGATACAGTAAAAAAAAATGTTCTCAGTAGTTTTAACCTTCAAGCCAAAGTTGACCTTTTAAAGTCGCTTCTCCTTTCATCGTGTTAGCCTTGAGGGAAAAGCTGTACAGAGCTGCACCTGCTAGTCTGTCTAACGATTAGTTCTGATCTGTTCCCACTGGCTGGGACGGAAACTCTTCCTACTTTTGTAACTTCCATCTGGGAGAAAGCTTGGCTTCCAGAGAGGAGATCACACACCGCTTAATTGGAGCGAAATTACTAGCTCTGCTCTCAGTGGTTAGAGCACTCGCCTTGCAAGCGAGAGACCTGGGTTCGATTCCCGGCAGGGTGAAACCTTGGGCAAGTTTCCTTACTCCACATGCCTGATAATAATCCCTCAAGAATAATAAATGGTCACTTCAATCCACGACTGTTTGTGGGACACTGCTGTGCGCAATTGGCTGCCGTGTTTCGGCCAGAAATATACATTCAATTCACTTTATATTCTGTGAAGCGCTTTGAGACGTCTAGAAGAAGTGAAAAGCGCTATATCAAATGCAAGGATTATTATTATTTTCTTATTGTTTACGGTCAGATCTGTTGACAGACTCATGATAAAAACAGAATTTGTAAGATGATCTGTAATTTTTTTTCTGCCCGATTTCTAATCACAGTTCAGGTTTGTCAAGGCTTGCGGATGTTAAGCAAGTAAAATGTATGAAATAAGTGGTGTTGATGGTGAACAGAGTAATAAAAACTCAGAAGATTAACATTACTATTTAAAGTCACATGTGTTCAGCTGCAAACAACACATGAAACAAATCAAGAAACAGCCGATTCAAAGCCTTGATATTTATGTAAAAGAATGTAATTCTGGAAACATTAATAACTGATGACAAAAGATGTATCACTTGAATTTTTTTAAAAAAAGTCACTTTAAAACAAAACATAAAGAAAAATGAAATGACACAACCAGGCAGAGTTTACATAAGAACATAGGAATTGCTGAAAGAAAGAACAAGATCCATCCAGTTCGCCTTCCACCATTCTGGCCATCGCATGCATATGTCATGTCCCAAACTATATACTGTAACCCATGATATTATTTGCTAAAATAAATCTTATCTAATTTGCTTTTGAAAGGATCAATACTTCTTGCTTCCATTGTCTCCCTAGAGAGCCCATTATATACATTTACTACTTGCTCACTGAAATAGTGAGTTAAACACTAATGATAATGCTTGCATTTGATATTTGAGACATGATAAGGTGAATTGACTGTATGTTTTATGAGTGAAATGTGGCAGCCAATTGTTCACAGCAGTGTCCCACAAACAATCGTGGATTGGTGAGAAATTTATTATTATATTTTTTGAAGGAATTATTACCCCCGGGAAAGTGATCTACCAACTAACTAACAACCGGATTAGGTAACTGAGAGGAACTTCATGTCGCATTTGACAGCAAGATCGGAACCTGCATTGAGAAGTGAGTGCAAGTGGGAGCTATACATATTCTTTCCCTGTATTTATAGAACATAAATGGTTTCCCAGAAGTCTCCCTTCCCACCCACCCCCCTCACACACAGACACATAAACTCCCCAAGCCTATGGCTCTATCCACCTGGTGACCATTGACCTCACAACACATGCAGAGTAACCCTGACCGCCGGATCAGAAAGCCCACAGACACCTGAAGATCAGCATAAACTTGACTCCTGTCATTTACTCCATCAACGTACAGCAGTGAAGATGAAACAAAGAGTCTCTGAAAAAGAGCACCTTGTCCTAAGGAAACTGAGGAATCTGCAGTGAAAATAAATGGAGGGCAGGGCTTCAGTACTGATGGCTTTGTTGAAAGGCCCAAATTCTCCCTAAACACTCACTGGAAATGCTCTGATCTGATAGCCAACTGTTTTACGTAAGGCACAGCCAGCTTTAGCTGTTGATGGTGACAGTGGTGTGTTTTTGTGTGACTCTGATGCAGCTGCTGCTGATGATGATGTCTCTGCGCTGTTAACCCTGAGAATAACAGCAACCTCTCAAATTCCTCTTCACCCTCCCCCTCCCCAGGGTCTGTGCATTCAGCAAACATCACCAACCTTCTGCTCCTGTTCACCATTGTAAATGCAGAAGCACCTGCTAGACTAACTGCATCTCAGATGTCCACCGCAATGGTAAACCCCTGCAAAAGCAGCTTTCTTCATGATGTTTGTCATTTTCCAATAACAAACGCTGCTCATGCCAGTGTGACGTATCTTCAAGATAAACACTTATAGTCCCATAGTGTAGTAGTTAGCATGCTCGCCTCGCAAGTGAGAAGACTCGGGGTTGAT